GGCGGGGGTGGCCCGCTGGTGGCCGCCGCAGCTGCAGCCGGGGCCGCCGGGGGCTTCCTGACGGCGGAGAAGTTGGCCGCTGAGAGTGCCAAGGAGCTGGTGGAGATTGCGGTGCCTGAGAACCTGGTGGGGGCCATCCTGGGCAAAGGGGGCAAGACGTTGGTGGAGTACCAGGAGCTGACAGGCGCGCGCATCCAGATCTCCAAGAAGGGAGAGTTCCTGCCTGGCACGCGGAACCGGCGGGTCACCATCACGGGCAGCCCTGCGGCCACGCAAGCCGCTCAATACCTCATCAGCCAGCGGGTCACCTACGAGCAGGGAGTGAGGGCCTCAAACCCCCAGAAAGTGGGATGAGGCCTGTGGTGTGTGCTCCCACCCCTCCTCCCGGCCCCTTCTCCTCCTCTTCCTTCTCCTCCCCTCCCCCACCCCCACCCCCAACTCCTGACCTCAGCTCGGGTGTAGTCCTGCTCCTCCTGGGATGGGGCTGGGGTAAGCCTGACTGCACCCCCCCCTCCTTCTGGTAGTCGTAGGCAGGATTGAGTGATGGCTGGGGATGGGGCCCAGAAGCTCCCTCCCCGGCTCTGAACTGACCCTTCTTCCTTCCTCCCTGTGCTTGACTGGGCCTGACCCTCCACTCCCAGGGCCCGGGTCTGTGTGATATCTGTATATATTGCATTTTGTTGATTTTAATAGAAAACAAAGCGTTATTTTCTCTTTCTTTCCCTCCTTTTTTTTTCTTTTTTCTTTTTTTTTTCTTTTCTTTTTTCCTTTTATTATTTTTTTTTTCTTTTCTTTTTTTTCTTTTTTTTTTTTGGTAAGGATTTTTTTCCCCCTTTGTAAGTTTTTGTTTCCATATGGGAGGAGGGGAGGGAGCCTCTGGGCCACCTAGAATGAGGGGCCTCCCCCAAACAACACCCCACCTCTCCTGCTTTCAGTTCCAGATCTGAGAGAAGGGATGGGAGTAGAGGTAGCCGAGGAGTCTGAGCTGAAATGGGGTATTTGGAGCAGGGACCCCAGAGTTCCCAGATTTTCTCAGCGACTCTACCCCTATTGGAGCTGCCCCTCCTAGGTGGGACTGTTCACTGTTTTGTTGTCAGGTCGTATAGGGGGAGGGGGTGCAGTGCTGCTGGGAATGAGGCCAGCTCTAGGATTGGTCCAGTCCTGTGGGCAAGACTCTTGTGAGAAGCTGGAACAGCTTCCTGTGGCATCTTCTGTGGTTTTACCTAGAGTAATGGGAATGAAGGTCCCTGTTGGGATGTCCCTCTCAAGAGTCAAGTACTCTCTGAGGTGCTGCTGGGACTCCTTCTGATGTCACAGGAAGTAGTTCCCCAGAGGTCACTTCCTGTGATGATAGGACAGGCAGGTACTTCCTATGATGTCTCAGTGGGCCTTCCTTGAAGGTTACTTCAGCAACATCATGGGGGCATGTACTTCCTGTGGTATCTCCAGGTTATTTCCTGTGACGTCATTGGGATGGAGCATGCACTTCCTGAATTGGGCCATGGCCAGTCACTGACACTCTTTCTCCGCCCGCACCCCTCTTTGGTGGGTCTTGGCCTGGGGGTCTGCCTAGGAGGAGAATAAGGGGTGGGACTTGGAGCATATCTGGAGGACTCTAAGGAAAAAGACCCAATATTGTCAGGGTCATCTCTATCCAAATACACCAAGTCTGTGAACCTGGCAGGGAGGGGTGGGAGATGGAGCTAGTGAAAACTGTTAAAGACCCCCATTCCCACCCCCGCCTTTTGTGTGCATGCTTGTGTCTGCGTGGCTTTGTTCCATTGAGTCTGGTGAGCCAAATGTGTGGTGGCTCCGTCAGGCCATCATGACCCAGTGTAGAGTTCAGTGAGCCACGGTAGGGTCCCTTGAGCCTGAGTGCTTCGTGTGGTCTAGTAGATTAGATTGGCTTGTGGTTTCCAGCAAGCTGGAGTACTTTGGTAGTATTGGAGGGATCAGAACGTTTTGGTGCTCTTGCCATGGGCCCTGAGGAGCTAGAATATTCTGATGGAGTCTGCCAAGCCAGACAGCCCTGAGAGTTGGTTTGGGAGTGGCTCCCTGAGCACTGTGACTGTGGTCAGCTCTAAGGCCTTGTTGGCAGGCTGAGATTTCAGGGCCTGACAACCCTATGGACTTAGGATAGCTGAGACCCACCTCTCCCCTCATCCATCTCCCCCTCCCCCTTGGAGACCACCTCCACTTCCTCCAACCCAAAGCAGGGCCCCCAGTGCCCTGGTTCCATCATCAGCATCTCTGGGGGAGGGGCACCCCATGCCCACCCTCTCCCCCATTTGTCCCCCTCCTAGGTCTTCCAGACCCTTCTCTACTCCATGGCTTTGGGGGAATCAGGCCTCCTCGTCTCTCTCCCACAAAGGGAGAGAAGAAAAGCCAGAGACAATTCCCACCCCTAAAGCCTGGGAGACCCCTGCCCCTTGCTAGAGAGCCACCCCCAAATCAAAATGTGAAAATCCCTAGAAAGCAATAGCCTTCAAGGTACCTTGCACTGAATTTCCCACCCCGGCCCTTCCACCTGATGGGAGGCTGTAGCTTGGGCACTAGGGTGACTTTTTCCATGCCCTCTTCATCTCCAGGGTGGGGGGCAGGCCCCATTTCCCCATCCCCCATCTCCCATCGCTGCTGCCCCCACCCTTAATCTCCAGACTGAACCCAGATGGAGATTCGAGTGCCAAAACAATTCTTGATGTAACTTTGTACATATCTTCTGCAGGGGGGGTGGGGCCGGGCTCTTGGGGTTGGAGGTGGAAGTGGCCCTGTGGGCCACTGCGCCCCTCTGCCTCTCAGAAGACCCTATGGTATTTCACAGTATTTCCACCCACAGTGGGTATTGCAGTGTCTAGCTGGAATATGCCCCCTACAGCCCCCCACCCCAGGCCTTCATGAAGAGGGGAAGGAGCCAGGGAGAGGTAAAACGGTCTGGAAGTGGGGAGGTGGGATTTGAACGCACTCATTTGCATATCATTTGCATCCTCAGCTGCCCTGGTCTGTCAGATGCTTTCTATAGCCCCTTTCATGGGAGTCTGGGTCCCCATCAGCGGGACCCAGTACTCCTCTCACACAGACACGTCTCTGGAGGCTGGGCCTCCCGAAAAGTGTTCCCTTGGGGTATCTGTGTGACTACCCCCTCCCTATTCACATCTCTCGGGGACCCCTTACCCCACCAGCCAGGGCTATCTGAAAGGTAGTTTGCTAGCTCAGTGAGCTAGTTCACTCACCAGGTTGGTGAGTGGAGAGCCACACACCTTTCCCCGTTTTTACCCTAGGAAATTCACTCTACCATCTTCCCCATCCCTTGAAAGTCTCTTCTGCATTCTGACCTCAATCTTCCGTGCTGCAGTATGTCCAGAGGGGACACAGATGTGGGGTCAGGGATGGGGATCACTGAAAAACCCACCGCCTCTTCCCCCTCCCTTCCCTGTTAGCCAATCAGATCTCAGAGACTCTGAGTGGCCTCCTTGCACCCTGCTCTTCGGCACCCAGTAGGTGCTTAATAAGTGTTTGCTGCATTGACTTGTCTCCCTGTTCTTTCCCATTTGCCCTCCAGCTCCCAACATCTTCTTCCAGAGTCTCCCTCCCTCTCTTTCTCTCTTCTTCTTTCTCGGGCTCCCTATGGCTTTCTACTTTCTCTCCTTGTGGCTCCCATTGTTACCTGTCCTGTCTCTATCTTTGTCTGTCTTTTTCCCTCTTCTCACTCCTCTTAACTCTCTTTCCTCCCCCACCTCCCCATTGATTAAAAAAAAAGTGCCAAACTTCCTTGGAACTGAGCCGCTCTGGGGGGGAAGGAACCTCAGATAGAGGGGAGGAAATGGGACCATCTCTCTCTGAGGAGGCCCCTAAGAGGCATTGAAAAAGTCTGTGGACACTTAGCTAAATTGGGTCCCCCTTCCTCACCCCTCCCACCCTGAGTTTTTCTTAGAATCTTTGTAAGAAAAAAAAAAAAAAGACAGAAAAAAACTCCCCTTCAGCTAATCCCTAACCTTTTGGATTCCCCAAATTCCACCAGCCGGGGAGAACCCCACTTGCCTCCTTCGGGCAAATCTGTAGAAATTGCGTGGGGGGAGAGACAAGCTCAGCCCCTCTTCTGCTGGCCCCAGGGATTGGTGCCAGCTGGATTCCAGAGAAGGACCTCAAAGCACTTATGAGAAGAAGGGGTTCAATGTGCCAAATTCACTTCCTTCATCCCCCGTCTCAGGGGGCTCTGAGCCAACCTGCCCCAGCCACCTTCTTCTGCCCTGTCCCAACCATCTCTCCATGGGCAAGGAGGCTTCATTGCAATAATTATTAGGGGATCAGAAGGTGAAGATCGTGCCATTTTTATCTGCCCTAACGCCTGCCCTGGACTTGTAGGTGGGAATTATTATGGGTACCCCAAGTGGAGTTTGGTTAAGAGTCGGCTTATAGATGGCTGGGGACCTATACTTGGAAGAATATGGTACCACTTTTCTCTGAGTGGTATTTCTTCTCCCCCTTCTTAACTCCCAAGTCCCTCAATATCCCCTCTTTCTGTTTCTCTTGCCTATTCCTCCATCGCACGCCCTCCTTATTTTGTTTCTGATTGGTGGCCTACTGTTTGGAAAGTGATGAGGGGATCCCCCTGCATGGATTATTGCTGTTGCAAGACCAGGACTTGAGGTCGTGATGGCGCTGAGCGGTGGAAAAAGTATTCACTAAGAGTGGCGACGAGGGTGGCAATTTGGGCGTCCAGGCTGCTGATTGGGTGCACACCTCTCGGGACAGCCAGGCAGGCCTTCGCGCTGTTTGCCACGCACCTGCCCCCGCCGACTTTGAACTCCGAGGCCGGCCGTCGCGAAAGCCTGAACCGGATGTCACGACGGGGAGAACGGGATCGCGATGCCCAAGTTGGGGCCCTGAGGGCCGGGGACACAAGTTTACGGCTCTCGTGGAGTCGCGACACCCAGCCCTGCTATCCGATCCCTCGCCACTGCAGTCAGCGGTCTGGACGCCGTGGTGGAGGGGCTTGTCTCCGTGGCGCCGCTGCCGGTGTATGTAAGGTCCGTCTCAGTGCCCTCTGCCTGTCGCGTTGGGGATTGCTGGGTGGCAGGGAGGGAGATGGGGAACGTCTTTGGGGGGGGGGGGTTACGGGGACGGGGGCTGCTGGTATTTAACCCCTTCTCAGCCAGTCCAGGACACTCTTGTCTCCCAGAGATAATTGGGGGGGACCGCCTAATCCCCCTCCCCCACACCTTTCCTCCTCCCTACCCGCTACCCCTCCCCCCAAAACCACCAACCTCTCATCTTCTAAGTGACTCCATCACCACCGGCCACCGGGACCTGCGGCCTCATTGCTCCAGCCCGCCCCACTCGACCGTCAGACTCGCTCATCGAACTCTTTTTGATTAACCCTTTCTGTGTTCATCCCACGGAAAACTGTGTGTCCGGCGAGGGGGAGGGGGGAGGCGAGGGGCAGTAGCTACCTTTCCTCCATCTCCTCCCACCGCCCATGCCTCCCCACTCGCACCCCATCCCATGCCCTACCCCCATCCCTCACCCCTAGGGTCCTCCCCGCCCTGGGGAGAGCGACCTTTATAAATATCTCAGCTGTTTGGCTTTGTCCCTTTCAAAGGCGGGGCCAGGGGCGTGGCCTCCTGCCAGTGGAGCGCTCACTCTGGCCCCACTCCTTTCTTTGCCCCCCCACTCCCCACCCCTTCATTGTAAATAGTCACTTTTGTACTGGGTTTGAGC